CCCCGGCAATAACTGAGATAAATTGAATCTCGCAAGTTCAACATTCAACTAAATGAATTCTGAACATTTCTTAGGACGTTTTATTATTGATTTTGTATAATAATATCTGTGCAGTGTAAAAATACCCCGATGATTAAAAAGCTTTAAAAAAATTCACCTATCATAAAATATTTTATTCCCCACCTTCTGTATCATGCATTAATTCTGGACTTAGAAGTAGCAAGAGGGGTATCGGCGATGGACCTTTTAATTATTAATCATGGTTAAATGATAAAAGTAACACCTGAGGTGGCAACCTAATCTCATGACTTCCACACCTCATCATTGCGAGAATTTTGAGTATCTATAGATGTAATGCAGCGTTTCTCAAACTATGAAGTGAGCCCCCCATGGGGGCATGAAAACTCTACGAGGGGGGCGCGAGCATATTGAAAAGTCGAAAACAAAAGATTTTTTCAAAAAAATATTAATTTACTGAAAATAAACAAACAAAATAGATTCTGATATAATAAAAAAATAAATACATATTTACATTGATATATTATACTTATAAATGTACCAGTGATACATAATGCATTTTATAATTAATTTAACAATACTAAGTTAAGAACAAGTTTATTAATTATCAGTGACCCCATGGGCTTTTATCATATATATATAATTAAAAACAAATTAACACCTATCTTAATAATTTGTACGGTTTATAGATAATTAATCCCTTAACTGCCGATTAAAAGTTACTTGATTTGTTTCGCAATGGCAACTGCTTTCCTCTTAGGAGCGCGTATGTGATGTATTGCAATGTGGGGAATAAAGATGCAAAAAAAATCTGAAATAAGTAAATCCTTCGCAAACATTTCTAAGGTGCTTTTATTGCACATTCCAAAGCCTCCAGAATAATTTTATGGACAGTAGTGCACTGAATGGATAGCACTTCAGAAAAACGTATATATACGTCCGCGGAAATAAATGTTTTGGCTTAGCGAGACCTTTATATACGCCGGGGGCGTTTAAGAGGTTATAACCGTATCGTAGCTTTAGCGTCAAAGTATAGTATTTCTGAATTCAATACATTATCACATTGTATGAGGGAGGCGCAATGAAAACTATGTTTGAATATTGGGTCGCGAATATTTCAACTTTGAGAAGCTTTGCTGAAATGTATATTAGCCTCTCTGAACGCCAGGCATTTAGTGGTATAACGTTTTCCTGTCTCGCAGCCGCAAAGTCAGCTTTCTTATGCAGTTAGCATTTCACCATTCATATCCCCACGTGTACCTCTAAATTATTACAGTCCTTTCATCTGACATTGCGCCAATAGTCGATGACCATGAGAAAAACAACATTCCACATGCGAGCCGAACTCCGAGTGAAATTAGAGGTGTAAGAAGGGACAACCCAACCCGAAGAGAGGGCAATCCGCTTGAAACATTCGAAAAGAAATGTTGTTTTGCCTCCTCCTTCATCAATAACATATTCTGTAGTATTGAAATAATCAACAGCTTGTATTACTTGTAACTAAATGTAAATATTGTAGTAAATAGCTGTAGACGCAATAAATCAATAATTTAATTTCTTAAGTCTTGTGATACCCCTCTACCTCGGGGTACCATCTCTTCATCTACGTGACCTAGATTTATGGGAGGTAATGATTGATGATACATGCTAGCCATTATAAAAAAATCAATTTATTGTTATCCAATTATACTGATCAAAGACAGTCATACTATATTAAGGAAATCAGAAGTGATATAACGTAACCCTAAATTATATGTAAATAAGCACCCGGAATACTAACCACTTAACTTTAAGTAAAGTTATTCTGTGAATCTCAATATTCTTTAATTTCTCTGACTCACTAAAGCCCGTTCTATAATTACGCTTCTAAGTTTAAATCCTTACCATCAGCTCACGGCGTGCTGCATCTCAGCTTCCTTTCTCCTTCTTCTTCGCGATTACAAAACCTCCACTATATATCTACTAACTAATCTGAATATCAAGGTTTCTTCTTGAGAGTATTGGCTATGAAATAACTCAATGCTCTGGCCCCAAGATTCCTCAAGAGGATTACTATAAAAAACACGGTAATGCCCCTTCACAGTCTCACGCTATTCAGCAATTTTCTCAAATCATCATAGTATCCATCTTGTGTGTTAGAATCAACATGAAATTCTTTTAATGGGATGTAATAACTTTTTATTGTACTTTGAAATTGTATATTGTCTTTCTGGTCAGGTTCCTAATATAGGTATATTTTACTCTACTCGTATATTTTAATTCTTTTTTTAATTCTAAAATTTTCTTATGTTTTCGTACTTTTTCCCAGAGCTATGTTTGACTTTGTTTCGTATTTTGTTCAAATGAAACATCTTACTTTATACTTTTATAGTTATTTTTAACTGAATAAGATGTCTTTTAAAGAATACTTCTGAGGCAACCTCTTGAAATTAGGAACGAGGAGAACAGTTGCACTTCATTGTTGTTTAGGTACATTAACTCGTTCGCGAGCGACTAGCTTATCAAAGGTTAAATATTAAAATAATTTTCCATGATTGAAATGTAAATTTCTATAAAACAGAAAAAATGTATTTCTTTCATAGCATGAATTTCTCAAAAAATAAAGTAATTAAAGTTTATCCAATTTGATTTGTCGAAATATATTTATAGATACAAATACAATTAAGAAAAGAATAAATAAAAGCGCTGTTTCTCTCTTAAGTATTTTTCATAATAAAGGTATTATGTACATATACTAACATATTGGATGATATTGCTTAATATAGGGTTATTCATTCTGTGAACACATACATATGTTTAATTTTGTCACTCAGTTAATTAAACACATTTTCTTAGGAGATTTAACTTAAACATTTCAAAAGAACAGTAAGTGGATTGCATTATAGCTAAAAATAGGAGACAAACAAAAAATTTTTTTAGTTTTTTAAAAGTATCAAGAACCTATAAAAAAATAATGAAAATACTGAACGTTTTTCTCAGTTATCGATGTATTCCTTTGCAATAAAAAATCGTGGCATCAGATTCCTATAAAACATTTTTTATTATATGTACACCTCAGAACAAGATTCACATCAGACAAACCAAACTACAAACTAAGATAGAACTCTAGAACTATAGAGCTGTAATCTATATGTAGGAAAATTGATGTTTTTTTTGTATATATGACCTCTTTTCACTCCATAACACCGTTCAACTGTGATCACTATAAAAATTGGCAGGTATTTGTATTTTTTTGTGGAGAAGGGGTTGTGTGCTATCCTCGATGTTGCAGCTCCGCACCAGGTGGCGCTACAACATATCAACTTATGCACCGTTCAATCAATCGTTCAACATCGTTTCTCCGTTCAACAAGGTCACCAAAAAGGATACCGATTTGGCTCTATCGCCAACATTTCACTTTGTTTCCATTTGAATCGCCATTATAATTTAAGGAACGGTGTTGCTTGCGAATATTATAATTTTAACATAAAATAAATACAACAGAAAGTAATATTAACGTATTACACTTTCAGATATAAGTTATGTACACTATTTTAAGCGTTCATTACACAAAATGTGTAACAATGTGTTACTTTTGCCGAGAAGAGATCAGCTTAGGAACGTGTTTTCAAAAATCAACCCACAAGAGAGTTACGGGGCGTTATAAATACACAAAAAATCTCTTTTTTATTAGCTATTACATCTACATACTTAAAATTTTACAAACATGGTTTTTTTTTGTTCAGCTGAGATATGCAAAACGCATATTTTTTTCGCTGTTGTTTGATTTGTAATTCACGTAAAATTAACTCCTTAAAAATTTATTTATCCTTCAATCCGTATTGTGTTTAATTTTTCGATTCACCATTGCGAAGAAAGGGTATATCAGTTAGTTTTATATAAACTCAATTTTACAAATCAGATAAGGTAACAGTTAAAAGTTAGACACACACACACAGCAATATTTAAATAAATATAATAGATTCCCCTACAGAAAAATTTATAAGGAAAACAAAGCAAAATTTTAATAAAAATGGCAAGTAAAATTTAATTGCTATCGTCGTTCCCCTCAAGTTGTAAATGCAGTTCGGTTACATAAAACTACGTTTCAATTAGTCTAGTCTCTTAATAAGTTTCTGGTGCAATTCCTAGACGCCTACTCAGAAATTATCAAAAAGAATTCTTCGGATTCCTAGAATTCTGTCGACACAGTCCATACACGAAATTTCAGTAATTTAACAAAACCAGAGAATTTTTTTATTAAAAGGTTTTTGATTAACAAGATTACTGGAAATTGAAGCCACAAATTAATTTCTTCGTTGCTTTCTAGAAAGTCACATTTTTAACTACTTAACTAGAGTTATAAAGTATTTCATTAAATTTTCTCCTTTTCTTATTATCTGTAAGCTTGTGATTTTCTCATCAGAAAAATTGATTTTAAGAATGTCAGCATACCGCGGTATTGCCAGTATGTCATGAAGCATATCAAACTCTTGGCCTAATGAACGTATAACGAAATTTTCGCAATATATCATTGCTTAATTTTGAAAATTTCTAATTATACACTGTTGTTAAAAAAAACTTAACATTAATTAATGAAGTATTATTAGCCGTGTTGAAACGACGCACCATTTCTTCAACGAACAACAAAGAATATTTCAATTACTGTTAGTAAAATATCCATCACACCATTAATTTAACATTTTTTTCTGTGTGTGTATGAAGCTTTTTTTTTTCCATTTCCTAATATTAGTTTACTCCCTCCCTATATATATTTATTTATATAAATATATATCTTGTTCAAATTTTCAATCGTTAATAAAAAGCTTTCTATTCATCCATTCAAGTTCAAATACATTTTTTTAAACTTGTAGTTGTTGACACTTGATGTTAATGCAATTTTTTCAAATATTAATTCGTTAATTAAATTAAAAACTGAATAAATAGTAGCAAACAAAAGAATGGTCCCACAGCCTATATAACAAAAGTAAATTGCTCGTTGTGTCTCTATAGAGTAGTAGATAACCCGTTGGATTTCCTATCCAAAGAGCGTGGGTTCGAATTCCACCTGGGATGGCTTAATTTCTGAGGATGTCATTCCTTTTTTACTATAATATTTTATTAGAATATTGAAATTTAATTAATGAACAAATAGTAACAAGCAAAAAAAAGTAGCCCAACACTATATATAGAAAAATGAAAAATTGCAAGGACAATCGCTTTCTTTGTCACTTGATATTGTAATTCTGTCAATTGTTTATAAAATCATGTTTGTAAAAAATGTAACACCATGAGGAAATCATCAGAATTAAATGAAATTTAATGCGGAAACGACTTGTTTAATACAAATAAATGACGAAATTTTCAAAGCAAAAAAAAAACCAAAACAATATTAAGTGTCCGAAATCAGTATTTGGTGTAGAAACTACGCGCTGCAAGAAGTGCTGTTATACGACGTAGCATGGAGGCAAACAGATTTTGCATGTCAGCTTGAAGAAGTGAATTCCATATTACTTGTATGCGCAGCCAAAGTTTGTCTTTTGAAGCACCAGGACGCGTATCATGAGCGAGACGCTGACCAACCAAATCCCACATGTGCCCAATATGCGACATATCCGACGAATAAGCAGGCCAAGGAAGAAGTCACATGTCTTGGGCTGAACAGGAATCTCGAACAGATTTTGCAACATGTGGATGTGCATTATCCTTTCGAAATATAGCTTTAGGCATGCTTTGAAAGAAGGGAAAGACTTCGGGCTGTAGCACTTCACGGACGTATCTGTTGCTATTGAGATTATTCTCAATTCGTAGCAAATTGAATACGAAATCACACAAAAACTTACTTCTAGTCTTCGACCACTATGTCGTTCGATAACGCACTCTGGAAGGTAGCGTTCACCAACATAGCGTCTGAAACGAATGCGGCCATCATGGTCCCACAAATAGAAGCGTGATTCATCTGAAAAGACAACTTGGTGCTAATCAGCTTGCCAGGCTCTATGCTCATGAGCCGATTGCAGACGCAGCCATCGATGGTTTGCGTGAGGGGGATCCTGTATAAAGTCACCGTTGCACGCAATCCACGGTGCAGCAGACGTTGACACATTGCCGAAGTCGACATTAGTACACCTGTAGCAGTGCACCAATGTGCTGCCAACTGCCTGGAGGAAGCTGTACGGTCATTTGCCTCCATGCTGAGCAGGTGTCGATCACCGCACGATGACATCACCTTCCGTCATCCACTGCCAGTTTTTCGAGTTGTTCGGTGCTCTTCGGTCCCCTGCATTCAAACTCGCATCACTGTGAAACTGTTCCGCTGCTCACGAATTACTATTTCACAATACGAAAATCGTACTTATCGAAGGCCGATAATCCTTCCCCGTTCAAACTCCGTAATTTGTTATAATTTCTTTTCGATATTTTCTGCAAAGTTCATTTAATTCTGATGATTCCTTCATGATGTTGCATTTTTTTACTAACAACAGTGTCCATATTTAAATTAATTGTAATTATTTAATGATAAATTGCTTAAATAAAATTATTCTTTGTTGATCTAAGTAGGAATTGGTTCAATTTTTTTTACATTACCGGATGTTTCAAAAGTCCCGCACATCAACCTTGGTGGTTGAGCCTTAAATACAGATGAATTATGTTAACAAATAAAATAAATGGCAAACAAAGGTTGAATGTTTATCTTTATTGTCAGGGGCCAAACATGGCAAAATCACAATAAATGTTAAAAATGATGTCCATTTTCCTGAACACACAGTCGAACTGTTTTTACCAGATTAATCGACACTTTATGAAGAATGTGAGATTTAATGTCCAAAATTGCATAAAGGTTGTTACTCTTAGGTTCATCAAGCGTATGGAAATTCTTCCTGAAGGTGACATTTTTCATTTACCCCCAAAGGAAAAATCTGGAATTGACATGTCCGGTGAGCGTGGTGACCAAAGTCCTTTGGAAATGACACGGTCATTGAACAATTCAGTTTAAACTTCCATGCTCTCCCGAGATGCGTAACACGTTGCAACGACTTGCTGCAACCAAGATACCGTTTATCACTGTTCAGCAAGAATATGAATTCCGTAATGATGCTTATGTAGACGGATAATCTTTTCATTGGACTTCTTTGTAAAACGGTTTCCGTATCTGCCACTTTCGTTTTCACTATGAATGATCTACCCGATCGTTTCCTGCCGGCAACCGATCCTGTGTCACGGAACCATTGCCCTAAATGTGTTATTGTTGATGCATTTGGTGATTTTTCACCTAGATATTTCTGCTGAAAGGCATTTATCACAGGCAATGAGATTTTGTAGCGAAATAAAATTCCGCGAGGGCTATTCTTTGCTCTTGGAAAAAGTTCATGCACATGCCATTGTGTTTAGATGACTATAACTGACAAGTATTTTGGAACAGATGCCTGCTACGTTCAAAACTTATTATGATGGAGCCCCTCTCTGCCATCTAGTGGCAGAAATCTCAACTAACCCTTTTGGTTTTTAAGCAACAAGGATTTCCATGTGGATGTGCGTGACTTTAGAAACACCTGGTACTTGTTTCTAATGCACTACATGTTTGCAGTTAGGCCACTGCAAACATGGAAAGTCCCCAAGTGTGAGAGCCATTTTATTCATGGCACCATCTAGTGGTGGCTCTCACTACCAACTTTTTGACTCTTGAATTTTTTTCAATTCAAGCTCTCGTCTGATGCTAAATATTGGGTTGATTTAATTTTGCCTTGAGTACCAGAGCAAAATTTATACCCAAGGTATCTTTTCCATGTCACATAAACATATAACATGGGTGCTTAAGGATAGTCGGAAACCTCTATACCGACAATGTTAAATTGGCTGTTTTCGAGGTACATTTTCTCAAAATCTGTTAAATGTACATGCTTGAAATTTTTCATACAATTAAAATACACATTTCTCATTATACTCAAATGAGCTTTTAGCTAATTTTGAATTTTTTCATAATTTATAAAATTTTTTTTTAACATAGTTTAAGTTAACCCGTTTTTCACATAAAAAAATTTGTAAAAAAATAAATTTTTGAGTTTTTTACAAAAAGCTCATTTCCGTATATATTAGCCATCATTATAAATATATCATAAAAAATTTTACATATCTTAGAAACTAGTGTTCAAAGATATGTAAATTTTTTATTTTTTTTTTTTTTTTTGAGAAAAATTGATTTTAATGTATAATTACCTTTTTATTAAAACATTCCTGCTCCATAATCTAAATTATCAGCATTTTTTAGTATCTCATCATCTTCTCTCTTCCTTTTAAGTCTTTTTTCTTTCCTAACTTCCTTTGTTTTCTGTAAACAAGAGTATTTTGCTCGTAACAGCCTCAGTTTGTCGAGGCGCTCCATTGCCTGTATCGTGTAATCACCAGGCTCAATGCATAGTTTCCTCAATATTTGTAGTTTTGATACATTTCCCATGTTAAATGAGGAAACTGCATCATATGTACCCAATGATAGAACTTCTATTTGTACAAATGTTTTCTTCGGTACACGAGACCATATTACATTATTTACACTTTCGTTGGGATTTTGCGTACCTCCATGTAAACACTTTTTTAGCAATTCTGGATTAGCTAAATCCCTAAAAACAGGTCGCATGGCCTCCCCAACATCAACAGGTAAACTATTTTTGTGATGATAAGTCTCCTCAAGCAATTCTGCCTTTTTAAATTTGCACCATTTATCTGTATCAGAGGGACAAAATCCATGCTGAGGTTTTTCATCGGTCGATAGCTTGTGTAAAAATATTGCCCATATGGCTTGTTGCATGTCCTTCACGCTAGACAAATTTCTGCGGATGGCTAGACCATAATATGCTTGCAGACGGTCGATTTCTGCCTCTGTCAATCTATTTTTTCCGCATAAAGTTTTTCCGTCAGAAAGTTTTTGGCCTCTCATCTTAGTCTTCAAGCGTCGAAGACGTGTCCCCATTCTTTTCATAACATGACCTATGCATTCTAACTTCTCGACAGAACAATGGTCACCATATACATTGTTCTCGACAATAGAAGTAAAAGCCTTAGAGTCCCCATCTCCTAAATATTTTGTATAGCGAACATTATAGAGAGACTGGGAACGCTGAAAAATGGATAGAGCTCCAGCTACTTCCATCTTACCGCTATAGCCTTCAAAATTTCTCTTACAATTTTGAAGGTGCTTGGTTTTGTTCGGACAAATACAATGTTTAGAAAAAACTTCAACGTCAATAACTTTGCCGGTATCAA